AATCGTTTCCCGCCAACAAATTCCTTTGGGGTCTCGTGCGCGAGGTTTAGGCGCGTGTGGGGGAAGGCTTAAAAACGGGAGGATGACACACGGGGTAGGGACATATATCCGAAGTTTCAGCGGTTTAGGCGCGTATGGGGGGAGATACCAAAACGGGAGGATGACACACGGGGTAGGAACATATATCCGAAGTTTCAGGGGTCCCGTACGCGGGGTCTAGGCGCATATGGAGAAAGAGCATAAAACGCGAGGATGACACATGGGTTAGGGACATATATCCAAAGTTTCAGATCAGCTTTCCTGGTTGCCGAGTTGAAAGTGGGTGACAAAATGCACTCGCATTGCGAACACACACACAAACTTTCCTGATTGCTGAGATGAAAGTGGATGACAAACTGCACTCGCTTTCCGAACACACACACAGACAGCCTCTCGACAATATGCGTTTTTGCTGGCTGTAGCAGCGCGCTGCTATAGCCAACAAAAATGAATATTGTCGAGAGGCTGTCTGTGTGTGTTGTCGAGAGGCTGTCTGGCTGTAGCAGCGCTATAGCGCTGCACAGCAAAAACGCATATTGTGTGAGTGTGTGTGTGTCCGGGTATTTCAGCTCAGTAACCAAGCAAGCTTTGGCAATTAAGTTCAACCACTAGGTTCCCGGCTTAGTGCCACCTCTGGACCGCGGTATCAACCTTCACACACGCCTAGGCCCTGCGTATGAGCGCGTGAAAGTTTTGGCAGAAAAATCGCTAACTCACGAAGCAGAAAAAGTAGAAAGCTGAAACTTTGCGGTTCTGTTCTCCGTCCACTTAGAACCCAAAGATTTCAAATTCAGCCACCAGGTGTGCGTGATACCCGTGCATGGCCCCGCGAGGCTTTCTGGCGCGATAATCGCTAAAATGGGAACTGGAAACCGGGAAAGCTGGGAGGCTGAAATTTTCAGGGAATGTTCCCAGCACATGTGCAACTTCAAATCATCGAATTCAGCCCCCAGGCTTACGTGATTATTATGTAAGCCTCGTAAATTTTTTGGCGGGAAAGTGGCTAACTTGGTAACCAGGAAAGCTGGGAGACTGAAATTTTCAGGGAATGTTTCCAGCACACGCACAACAAAAATTTATCAGATTCAGCCTTCAGGCATTCATGCTTCTCACGTACGGCCAAGTAAAATTTTTTGACGGAAAAATGGCTAACTCGGGAAGTAGGAAACCTGGGAGATGAGATTTTAAGGGTATGTTCCCAGCCCCGTAGAAGTTAAAGATATCAAATTCAACTCCCAGATGCGTGTGGTTCTCATTTACGGACCCATGAATTTTTTTGGCAGAAAAATTGCTAACTCAAGAACCGGAGATGTTGGGAAGCTGAAATTTATCGGGATGTTTCCTGTCTAAGTACTGCGCAGACAGTTAACTTCCCGAACTTCGAAAACCAGTATATCACAAATCCTAACTGCTAGGTTTCCGAGCGGTCTCATTACAGCATGAAATACTGCTAAAACGCATGGTCGCATCGGCCTGCCAGACTCGCGACGCCAATGATTTTTAAAGTATCCTGAAAAGTTCTTTTTTTTTCGCTTCAAAGAAACACAAGATTTGATACTGGTAAATTTGTATCGCGCAAAAAAAAATAATGAAAGACGCTTGCAGGCACTTCTAGCTTATGCTGTTAAATGTTCTAGAAGGCCTACAATAGGCTTGAAGAAAATTTCAGCAGTGGAAAGGTGAAAATTACAGCTAGGAAAAAGAGCGACGGGGTTTTTAAG